GACAATCCCCACAGGAGCACTTTGGGGTGAAGTGTCTCAGGGACACAACGACATGCTGACTGCATCATCTGTCCCTCTCTCCCCCAGCAGGAGGTGCCGTGTCTCCCTGCTCCTCAAACTGTCTGGTGATCACCATCATGGAGCTCCCTGCAGACTCCCCGTCCTCTGAGTCCCTGAGCATGGTGGATGTGGTGGAGGTTTACCGCCCCCCCAGCCTGGAGTCCCTGCCCTGCAGCCTGCCGGCTCACAAGTGTCGCGCCTGGACGTCTCGCAGTTTCCCGCGCTGCCTGCTGGGGGCACTGTGTCTGGTGAGGAGGCTCTACTAATAGCTGCAGTTAATGTGTCACTGCCTCTGGGGATCTACTACAGGAAGTAACTGTGTCCTTGATGCAGGTTTTCTTCAGCTCACTGCCTCTTGGGATCTACCTGAATGATGTAACCCTGTCCTTGTTTGCAGGTGTACTTCAGCTCTCTGCCTCTGGGGATCTACCTGCTGATGATCGGGCGGCTGTGGCTCGGTGTGGTGCTTGTCAGTCTGGTTCCCTCCACGCTGCTGCTGCTCGTGCTCTACGGCTTCTGTCAGTGTTTGTGCCATGAGCTGATGGAGGCGCTGGCAACACGCCGACACACATAACAAACACATCCCCAAGACAACAACACAGCTGCCATGGCAACAACGTACAACAACCGAGAACAACGAACCACACACTGTTTATAACCGGCTGACCTGACGTAACACTTCGGTTTGTGGACTACGGTTTTGAAGCCTTGAGTTTAGCGCTTTCACTGTGGCCATCTTGATTTTTTGTCATCAGCCTCTTGTTTATTGCAACCAGCATTACAATGTAAATGCTAACATTGATGAAGTGAGAACCAAACTGTGAAAGGGTTAAAGTTGTGAGATGAAAACATGAACAACACTGGAGTAATCACAGGTAGCCCCGCCCTGAAGCATACGCTGCTTTATCGTCTATTCTAAACGGGACCATAACTCACTAAATGACCATCATGCTGTGTTGAAGACGACAGAAGTAGATACTAAAACATTCACTCATCAGAAAAATGACCTACAATAGACATAGACTTCTCTACAATCTGAGGTAATAAAGAGAGAGAGAAGTAGGAACATTCCTCATAGACTTCTCTACAATACTGAGGTAAGTAAAGAAGAGAGAGAGAAGTAGGACCATTTCCTCATAGACTTCTATACAATCTGAGGTAATAAAGAAAGAGAGAAGTAGGAACATTTCCTCATAGACTTCTCTACAATCTGAGGTAATAAAGAGAGAGAGAAGTAGGAACATTTCCTCATAGACTTCTATACAATCTGAGGTAATAAAGAGAGAGAGAAGTAGGAACATTTCCTCATAGACTTCTATACAATCTGAGGTAATAAAGAGAGAGAGAAGAGTAGGAACATTTCCTCATAGACTTCTCTACAATCTGAGGTAATAAAGAGAGAGAGAAGAAGGAACATTTCCTCATAGACTTCTCTACAATCTGAGGTAATAAAGAGAGAGAGAGAAGTAGGAACATTTCCTCATAGACTTCTATACAATCTGAGGTAATAAAGAGAGAAGTAGGAACATTTCCTCATAGACTTCACTACAATCTGAGGTAATAAAGAGAGAGAGAAGAAGGAACATTTCCTCATATACTTCTATACAATCTGAGTTAATAAAGAGAGAAGTAGGAACATTTCTTCATAGACTTCTCTACAATCTGAGGTAATAAAGAGAGAGAGAGAAGTAGGAACATTTCCTCATAGACTTCTATACAATCTGAGGTAATAAAGAGAGAAGTAGGAACATTTCCCCATAGACTTCTATACAATCTGAGGTAATAAATCTGTGGACAAGTCGGGAATTGTTTTTCATATGAGATGTTACAACACATTTACGACTGTTGGCTAAAAATAAAGCACATCATTGTGATTAATGCTGCATTACAGGGCGGTTAAAACAGCATCAGGCCACCTTCAGTTTGCAGATAAACAACAGTAATGGATGTTGACTGCAGCAGCATCTTTAATAATAAAGCATCACGCAACATGTGCAGCCCTGTCACTTTCAGGAGATCCTTGTTGGAGGATAAGCTGCTGCTCCTGGACACATCCATTCAAAGCTCTGTGTATCCAATAGGAAAACATCCCTTTCATACCATATGTCTTCATTTCTCTGTGATACTCAGTTCCCTGCTGCATCTCCTGCGGGGAATCAGTAACTGTATATCATTTTCTCATCTGTCCTCTGCAGCTAAATATTGCTTTTTCCTCAAGAGTGCAATAATAAACTGCCGTGCTATCAAAGCAAACAGGCTCACCATGTGGAGAACATCTCAGATAGCAGTATAAGTCATGCATGGAGTATTATTAACCCTCTTTTCTGATGCCTCTTTCTTCTCAAGAGAACATCAGGTCTGCAGCCGTGAATCCTCCTTACATAAGCTCACAGTCACTTCCTGTTTCCTCTCAGGCTAATGTGTGCAGGAGGACATCCATCTTGGCAGATACTGGTCATGTTTTAAACATACAGGCGGATCAAAATCCTCTATCTGCAGCGTGCACATGGAAACCCTGAACCCAACGGCTCGGTGTTTCAGACAAAGAGGATGGGGGAGGTGTATCCACATGTCTCTCCTCACAAACCCTCCCTCAAGTCCTCTCACGTTCACACTGACTCTCCTTTCTCCGGACTGAGCGGAGTAGGAGAGAAAATAATAATAACAAGTCATACAGAGTCACAAAGTTCATGAGCGGAGAGATCCTGGAAGATCTTTACAGTATGTCCATATCTTCTTTATACGACACGTTAAAGTCACGTCTCAAAGGGTTTATGTTCTCAGCTGCTACATAGTGTGAGTTTCTCCTTTCTTATAGAAGACCTGTAGGATTCTCTCTCTCTCTCTCTCTCTCTCTCTCTCTCTCTCTCTCTCTCTCTCTCTCTCTCTCTCTCTCTCTATAAACCTCCATGTTAAAGTTCCCAGCAGAAATGAACATGTTTACA